AAGTTCTTAGATGTTTACCTCATTTGTTTTAATCTTAATTTCTAAAGTAAGCATTTAAGGCTGTGCATTTTCCTCTAGTATTCCACAGGTTTTTGATATGAAGTATTCATCAATTCTAAATGTTTTCCATTAGGATTTCTCTTTTTGTCCTTCAATTTTTCGTTAAATCAGGTTATAACTTAATAGCTTTGTGCTTAGAGAATGTATCATGTATATACCAGTGTTTTGTAATTTATTTGAATATGCTTTATGGCTTAAAATGTTGTCAGTTCCTGTTATGTGTTTGTAAAGGATGTGTGTGACCAGTTAAAGGAGTGTTGTGTCCTGTCATTATTTCCTTTATATATATTTGAGACAGCGTGTTATTTATATACCATTTTTTGAATATAGATGGCCCACTTTAGTAATGTTTGAAGAGAAAAATGCCTATTTTTGGTTTTGAATCTCAGCCGATTAAATCTTTGATGGCTGGGGTGTGGGGTTTTTGTTGTTGTTTTTTTTTTTTTTTTTTAAGCTTCTTGGAGCTTTCTGATACAGATAACTTGTTTGGAAACCATTGCTAAGTCATTTTCAACCCAAGAAGAAAGAATTTTTTAATTTTATTTTTATATCATTGTTCATTTTTGTGTAAAGTTTGATTTCTCCCCTGAGGTGTAATCCCCATAAAATTTCCACTCCAAAATCACCTGTGCACCGGTCACCATAATCTCTTGTGTTTTTTCCCTTCCCTTTTTTGACCCCTCCCTCTCCTCCTCCTCTCCTAAGGTATGTCTCAGTTCTATATTTGCTTGCAAGTATTTGTCTTTTTTTTCTTTCTGACCCCTTGTTTCTATAAGTGAAACCATCAGATTTTTTTTCCTTCTGACTTATTTCAGTGAGCATTAGTCCCTCCAACTCCATCCATGTTGCTGCAAATGGCATGAATTTATCTTTTTTGATTGCTGAGTCGTATTCCATTTTATATATGTACCACATCTTGTTGATCCAGTCATCTGTTTTTAGACATTTAGATTGTTTCCATATGTTAGCTGTTGTAAATAGTGCTGCAATGAACATAGGAGTGCAGGTTTCCTTTTGAATTAATGTTTTTTTGTGTCCTTTGGGTAGATCCCTAGGAGTGGAATTGCTAGGTCATATGGTAGATCCACTTTTAGTAATTTGAGGGTTTTCCACACAGCTTTTCATAGCGGTTGGACCAGTTTGCTTTCCCACCAGCAGTGTAAAAGCGTTCCTTTTTCTCCACATCCTTGCCAACATTTGTTGTTAATTTTTTAAATATGGGCCATTCTTAGTGGTGTGAGATGAGATATTCATTTGGTTTTGATTTGCATTTCCCTGATTATAAGTAATGTTGAGCATTTTTTCATGTGCCTGTTATCAAGAAGAAAGAATTTAAGGTTTTCATTTTTGGAAACTAAAGTGTTTACTAAACTGCCATTTAATATATTGGCTTGATAATTTTATTGTTTTTGTATGGTGGTTAATTATATTATATTATATTATACTTCATTTTTAATGAAATTTGATATTTTATAAGTATAATTTTTTGTTATATAAAGTCATATTCAGACTTGTACTTTATTAAGTGTGGATATCAAAGTATCCAAAAATCATTAGTTTAGGAAATATTTTTGTCTGTAGAAAAGCTGGTATATTAATTTGCAAAACTAAGCCTGTGTAGTGCTTTTTATGAATGATAGGAAGAAAGAATATATAGTTCAGAAATACTTGGGGTAATTCATAGTTGATTTTTATTCATAAAACACGGGAATAGCGTTTACTGATATGCTCTACATTCAGGATATAGTCAGCAGATGTTAATGATGAAGCATCTTGTAAAACATAAACTCAAATTGATGAATTAGGGACAATAGTGACAAAGAATTTGCCAGTGGAAGGACAAAAATATTTATATTTAGCATAGTTACTGCTTTAGAGTTTCACTAATGAAGTCTTTTAAAACTATTCAAGAATTTAACATTATTTAATGGAAATATTTTCATTTTTATCTAGATGCTGTAGAGGGTGCTGTATCATTAGGAATAGTAGTTTGAGTTGACTTCAATTATAAGAATTTCTTTAGGGTAGAGTTTCAAAGCTAGTTAATTTCTCTTGGATATACATCTTATTACTATTTTGACTAAAATTAGAGTGACTAATATTGCATAATTGACATAGTTTGTGTTTTTAATAGTTTAGTGTATTTTAATAGCAAACTTAAAGCAACAGCACAGAAGACAGACAACATTAAAAACATGTACTTGATGGGGCCTCCCCGGTGGCGCAGCGGTTGAGCGCTGGGTTGCGAGGCTGCCCGCGGCCTATGCCGGCGCCGGTTCGATCCCCTGCTGCTCCCCGGCCACCGGAGGAGGGTCCCACATGGCGCGCAGACCTCTCCTGCCGCCCGCTGCTCCCCTCAGCAGTGTATTTCGGTCCTTCTGCCTGCTCTGCTCCCTGCTCTGGCTCTGGTGAATTCTCTCGCCCTCCCACGATTCTGACTGTGCCCAGTGTATGTATTAACAAAACAAACAAACAAATAAATAAATAAATAAAACATGCCTCTATTAAAAAAAAAATTAAAAAAAAAAAAAACATGTACTTGCATGTTGGACAACTCAGAAAAAGCATAGTGAATGGATGGAATCTACTGTATGATAAAAATGCTGCAAACACCATTTAGTTGCTGTCAATAAGAAATTTACTTGTTTAAAAAAAATCGAAATGCTAAAATTGTCCAGAAAAATTTAACAGGTTTATTTATAATTGCTATAATTATATGCTGAAACTTGTTCACTGAAACATTTTGACTTGCATAAATCTTTATATCCCCACATTTATATTAAAAATTCACACAGAAACGAAAATGGAAAAAATGCCAATACCTGATTTCTGTCCCCTACTTTTTCACTTGCAATCATATACTTTGGCACCTTTTTTTTTTAAAAAGATTTATTTATTTATACAAGCACTGGGTATAGTCAGAAGCGTGGGAGGGTGAGAGAATTCACCAGAGCCAGAGCGGGGAACAGAACAGGCAGACTGACGAAATAGACTGCTGAGGGGAGCAGTGGGACATAGCAGGCGAGGTCTGTCGCTCCATGTGGGACCATCGCCGGGGATCAAACCAGCGCTGCAGAGGCTGCGGGCAGCTTCGCAGCCCAGCGCTTAACTGCTGCACGGCCAGGGGAGGCCCTGCTTTGGCATCTTTTGACCCTGGAGGAAAACCATTATTAACATTCAGAACTACCAATATCGAGAAGAAGATTTTTTTTTTTTTTTTTTTTTGGAAAATGAAGTGTTTTCTTATCATAGTTGTTTCTTAAGCATGTTCTCCAGCAATGTGACATGCTAGCTGTGTCTTTTGACATAATTATAACACATTTGGCATGGAGAGCACACAGATGGTGTCTTCCAAAGGGCCAAGCATATAGATAGGTCTCCCTTGCCTCCTGCAAAGCACTGATAGCTGAACTATGGAAGCACGGGTGTGTTTTGAAGTTGTGAGCAATTTCTCACACCAGATGCTGGAAGAGAAGTTTGCAGATCAGTGCAGGGGATTTCTGATAAGGTCTCATTTCATGTGGTGCCGCAATACCTGTTCTGTATTAATGGATTTCTTCACCGTTTCAGTAGAGAGCCACTCTTTGTCAATGACTTTTGTAGCTAGTTGCTTCCTCTGTGCTTTACCACAAGGGTATTGGCAGGCAGCCATGGCAGGAGCCGTGGTACAGAGACCTCCTTACTTACCCTGTCATTGAGTAGGTCTTGGGGAGCTGTGGGCCTGAGGTGCTGGCTAGAGATCCTGTAGTGGGGCCTCTGAACATGATTATTGATACAGTTTGTAATTAATATTGCTCTAATAGTTGCAAAGTGTTTTTCATCTTCCAGATTCTTCTACTATAGTTAATTTTGATTTCCTCCTTATTTGTTCCAATAACAATGGCTTACTTTCCTATTGCTTACCTTCATTCTGACCTCCCAAAAGGAGAATTCTGATATTTGCTTGGCAGGCTGTATAAACTATTTCTTTTGCTTCTTTTCAGATGGGGGACAGTGGGTGAAAGATAACCAAATCATACAATGAGAATATTCCCATTATAAAAGGTAGATTGGGTTCAGCAGAATATTATCTTTATAAGAAAGATTAAGACAAAAGGAATTTTAAAATCTGGACAGACTTTAGAAGTTGTTTTGTTAATAAAGAAGTCTTACTGACTAACTTATTGCTCAGAGTTCTGTAAATTCCAAATTTTTACTATTCAATTTTTTTTTTCTGATTTAATGGTCATTATACCTGTGCAGAATTACCTGATAATACTAGAAATCAGTTTTTAATCACCAGGGCTGAAGAATTTAGAAATTATCTGAACTTAGTTAAGTTAGATATACTGGTGTATTTTGGAATAAAAGACATCAGCTGTGTTTAAAAAAAATTAATACACAAAAAAATCTTTTTTAAAAATGTAAGCAACTTTAAAGAATTTTGACCCACATCTTGCCAGGACTTTCTTCCATTTACTTAAACTATTTTAAATATTTACTATGAAATTTTATACTATAATTTCTTTTTAAAGCTCAAATAAGAGGGCCTTCCTGGTGGTGCACACAGTTGAGTGCAGCACTGTCGAAGCTGCCTGCAGCCTCTGCAGTGCCGGTTCTATATCCGCTGGCCTCGGAGCAACCCACATGGCGAGCAGACCTCTCCTGTCTCGCCCGCTGCTCCCCTCAGCAGTGTCTTTCGTCAGTCTGCCTGTTCTGTTCCCTGCTCTGTTTCTGGTGAATCCTCTCACCCTCCCGCGCATCTGGCCTGTACCCCGGTTCTTGTATAAATAAAATAAATCTTTGAGAAAAAAAAAAAAAAACTCAAATAAGAATTTGTCCTTTCATTGCCCTCCAAAAGTGTAAGCATTTTCCTTTCTGGGTAAAAGAATTGATATTGTTCAAGCTTTCATATTAAACAAGTATACTCTGTTTTTGTTTTTGTTTTTTTAACTCTCAAGGCACCGCCTTCCATGGTCAATAATGAACAGCGCCAGCATGCAGAGCACATATTCTTATCATTTAGAAAATCAAAATCACCCTTTGCAGTTTGCAAACATATTTTGGGTAAGTATTCACTTTTACAAATGTTTTGCTTATTAATCAAATATAATTTTTCTATCTTAAACAGATATTTTAAATTGCATTTAAAATAAGCAGGTTTATATGGTGAAAATTTTCCATTAATAATCATTCTACTGCATTGACTTAAAAATTGTCTATAAAACCAGATAGAAAACCTTCTGTTTACCTTTGGATTCCACCCCACTTCCCAAGATGTTGTGTTCAATAAATTGTTTTATTGTTGACCGTGACATGAAGGCTGTTAAATGGTAGGAACAAAAGCTAATAATTCTTTAAAATTATTTTCAAGTGTGATCTTTTATTATAGAAAATGTGCTATAATTTTTCTTCTCCCAATATTTTTAAAATAAGGTTGTTTTGGAAGTGCCTATAATTGCAGGGTTTTTGTATTTTTCTTCCATAATTTTTTTAAAAACCATTGTTTGTACTCAGCTTCCTCAGTGAATATTAGTTCTGTGTAGGTTATCACTGTATATCCTAAAATGAATTAATTGATTTTAACTTTTATAAAAAAATATTTTTATGAGTACTTCATGATCTATTTTCAAAAATGATTTCTTTCCTTTAAAAATAATCACAGAAGCTACAACTCTTTTCCAAAGATGGCATTTTCTGATATATATATATATATATAGCATCTTGCCTCTTAATATTTTTCTGTATTTGTAAGAGATTTTATTAATTATTTATATTTTATAACCTGATTATGATTGACTGTTTTTTCTTAATTAGGGCCTTTTTTGTAATCCATGTTTAAGTCCTTTTTGTAAGACTTTGCAGTTAGTTTCCAGATTGAAATAACGTACAATTAAAGTTATGTGTTAAAAATGCTTTACATATATGCACTTATAAATGAGAGTTGTTAGCTTTGAGTGGGAAGATCACTGGTGTAGAAGCTGAGACCCATGTGCCAATGATGCCTGCTGCTGGTTGTCAGCTTGAGGAAGTCACTTACCACTGTGAAATGGGAATAATGATACCATTTTTTTTAATGGACTTGGCTATCATAAATTATTGTGAGGCACAAGTATAGTAGCATAAAAACACTTTGATAAAAGACAATTATTTAGACCCCTTAGCTCATTTCAAACAGCATTTAAAAACATAAGCTTAAAATATATTCTATATATTGTCTGTTTTGCAGGGAGTTAGCAATGGTGAAGGTGGTTCTGTCTCACTTAGGTATTAGATCTTATTAGAGAAACCGTTTTATTAATCACCCTTTAAATTATAAGTGAGGCAGTTTTGAATTTTTTTTTTTTTTTTTTTTGGAGTGGTCAGATTATATACTTGAATGGATTTGTTTCTGTCACAAATTTTGTTATCTTATACCTGCAGAGAATATTTAACTCATTGTTAAAAGAAGCAAAATTAAGCATCTGTACTAATTTGAGGGAGCCTTACTTCATCCTTATTGCCTTGAAATTGCTCAGCATTAATAGATTTAGGTTTATAGATTTAGATGAATAGATTTAGAAAATCATTGTGTTAAACTAGTAACCTAAAATAATTTCAAACTGGTTTTCATGACATGCCTTAACTAGAATTTCATCAGTATTTCATCTGACTTTCTATTGTAATTCAGTTGTCATTCTGTACTAGTTGGGAAATAATTCATCTAAGTTATAAGTATTTTACTAGAGTGTATTTGTTTATACCATTCTTTCCTTTTTAGAGTGTGTATATTTTATGAAGTAGTATTGTTTTGTTATGATTTGAGCTTGTTTTGAAATACTTTTGTTTTTCCCATAAAAATTTCTAAAGAATAGAATTGCTAGTTCCAGCCATGCTTTTAAAATTAGTTTGGGTTTTGAGATATTAACTATTTAAAAGATTGAGTGCATGTATTACAAGCATAATCATTAATGTACTGCAAAACTCTGTGTTACATTAATGTTTACATCTAAACTTCACAGAAAATCTTTTAACTCCTTACTCAGTTGCCACCAGCACAGTGGTTAATTCCTCTAAGAAGACTTCTCATACAAATGGCAGTCAATCGCAATTCAGAATTTTCACATTCTTATTTAGGGATTATTTGTCATTTTTATAGAACGTCTGGGTAATATAGTCTAATAAAGGGAAGACTTTCTCTTTGATACTTCCCCTTTCTGGCCTCTTAAAATTCTTCCCTCTTCTAACTTAACTTTTATTACGTTTGTCAATTTTCCTCATAACTCTCATCTTAACTTTTTATTTACTTTCGTTTTTTTTGTTTGTTTGTTTGCTCTCTTCTGTGTTCACGCACATGTGTGTGTGCATGTTGCATGCTTGTGCATTGTGTCAGAACAACACTTTTCGACTTTAGACAGGAGTCTTTGGCACTTAGGAATTTACTAGTTTTTAGGGTTAAATGTTCATTCAAAATATCTGTGAATTCTGGTCTTTAGTTAAAGACAAACTTCCAAAAACTGAGGAATTAGTTCAGTGCTTTGGTGCTGACTTTGTAGTAATCTTTTATTCTTTCTTGGGCAGAAATAGATTTTGTTAATTTCTTATTTCAGAAGTACCTGAAATAAAGTGAAACCTGAGATTTACTGATATGTGTGATTCTGTATCATTAAGCAGATTTTTTTCACTTTCCTTGCCTGTGCTTTGGATAGAAATTGTCAAGATCTGAGAAGTGATTGTAGTAACTAAACATCTGGTGCTTGACTAAAAGGGTTCTCTTTTACTTGAAAAAATTTTCTTTTGATCAGAAAGTAGTGCTTTTCCTTTATTTACTATTTACTTCACTTGACCTTTGTCTTCATGGCTTTGTCTAGTTTCAAATGGCTGACAAGATACAAATGAATTTTATATACATTGCTATTGAAGTTACTGTGGTACTAAGTGAAAGCTTCCTGCTAAAGTGGACAAAAATAATTTATCATCTAGACAGGGAAGATATTTATCATCTAGACAATGGAAGATCATCCTAAAAGTATTAGAAATTCTAGATAAATTGTGAGTTCTTCATGAAGACTTTGCTGTTTCATGTCTCTTTACAGGACAAAGCAAGAATAATATTCATTTGTACTTTTGAAGTACTGATCTTCTGCTCATAGGTTTCTAGATTTCATTTAAGCATCTTTTGCACATTTATATTACATATAATTAATTTATTGAGGTTAATTTTTTTATGAGAGGTTATAATTAGGTTAGAGAAATTCCCCTTTTAAATTAGGGATGTAACCCCCCACCCCCATTCCTTCATTCTTAGAGATAGCTTCTTATGGTAGTAGTAATTTAGAGATCTTAATATAATACGGAGACATCTAAGAAAAAGTGTAATCTTGAAAACTATTGAATATCATTCACTTTCTGTAATTGTCCCCCAGTCCACTCTCACCCCTACACCTAGGGGAAAAAAGCGTAGGATATAATCACAAATAGTTAGAAATAAGCATGTTTTATTGCTCATGTAAACCAAAAGATACTTGTTTGGTCTTCTTTGGCCTATACATTTAGGGATGGATTAGTATTGCTCAATAAACATTCACCAGCCATGTGACTTTTAATTTCTTCTTTTAATCTCTTGATATATCAGTTTCTTCCAACTGCAAGAATTGAATCCGACAATCTTTGGATTTCTTTTTCTAAAATTCTGTGAATCCTTTAGTTAAGATTTTGAGGGTTTTGTCCTTAAAATTTTTACTAATACAGTAGAAAATAAAGACAGGCAAACAGCCATCATTTCCTTTTAAGAAGAGGTTTATAATACGTTTTTTTGCATTATCTTTATGAAGCAGTATGTATTTCTTTTTAGGTGATCTAAATAGATAAAACTGGTTTCTGTTTCAAATCCTCTTTGAATAAAACACTTTTTTCCCCCCCCTCCTGGAACACTTAAACACATCTTTTAGTAATAGGCGTACATTTTGGGAAGCTATTTATTTATTGATTATATTTTTAGATTTCTAAATTTTGATGCGTTCTAATCTCAGTTCATGTTAAGTTAGCATGGAAAAACCAAGCTTAAAAAAATAGGTTCAAATTAGTTCCTCTTAGTTTTGGTATGTTCAAAATTTCTATGTAGTAGTCTAATATTAGAGGAATTTATGTAGAACATACCTTTCCTTGAACATTATTTTAACTAATTGTGTCAAGATCACTTTTAAGATTTTTAAATAACCTGAGCTTAACTAGGAGAGAAAATGATGTTCCTGTCTATATCTTCATGCTCTTCTGGATAAATTCTTGGAGGTGCCCATCTATACCTAGAGTTAATTTCTTACGGCCTTCAGATACTTGTATCTAGTGATCTTGGCAAATAACCTAGAGTCTAATCATAAACTTTTCATGGATTTCACATTATGGTTATTTTTCAGACCTTCAAAAAATTTCTACTTTTTCTTGACTTCATTTTGACTGTTTCTCCCTTTTGATAATGCTGTTTGGAAACTGATTGTAGTGGAATTGGTGGATAAAAGAAAAAATAGAAAATTAATACAAATTATTTCCTAGGTATGTTAATTTTCTATTTTTCAACCTTCTCATTTAGTTTTTAGTTCAGGTACTATATCTTGCTAGTAAAGCTGGATCTTTCTAAGTGTAGCTTTGAGATTTACTCAGTTTGATCAGTATTGCAATCAGAAAATTCATAAAAACTTCTCACCTTGTGTAATGTGACTTTTTTATATATGTAATTTTACAAAAAATAACTTAGACATGATTGTCTTTATTTCTGAACTTGCTATTGGAGATGGGTCATCCTGCTAAAGGATTACTTAATAAACTGAATTTTTTTAACAGCATGACTCATCACAAATAGTAATGTTCAAAGACTAGTTTATTAATATGTTTTCCAGATATAAATACAAAGTTCTATTTTGCACAGGGTGAGAATCTCTTAGGAAACTTTCTGATTGCTTTATATTTTTATTTTTATTTTTTTTAAAGCTGTGTTATTTTTTAGTTCTTCATGCTTTGGAAGTAACAGTTGAAGAGAGGTGAGGAAAGTTTGTGAAAATTGTGATCGGTGATTAGCTGCCACCTGCCTGAGGTGTCTTCTGAGAGGAACTAACCTCTTTGTGGTGCTAGAGCAAGGTCACTGGATTAAAAAAAGAACAGGTAACCATCTTATTCCTTGTCTGAAAAGTTCTGTTTTAAAATTAATACATGCAGAATGCTCAGCGGAAGATGAACTGCTGTTTAAAGGAAGTTTCTAATTTTCTCCTCAGAAACAAGTAAAGTAGACTATGTCCTCTTTCAAGCTGCTACAGCCATAATGGAAGCAGTTGTCCGAGAGTGGATTCTCTTGGAAAAAGGTAGCATCGAGTCACTGCGAACATTCCTTTTAACCTATGTCTTACAAAGACCTAAGTAAGTACACAGAGGAGTTACTGCTAAAATACTATTGCTGAGCTTATCCATTTTTAGCTTTTTGATTTGTGTTTTTTCCTTTATGTTTTAATGATGCAAAGTTATAGTTAGGCTCTGTGTGGGGCTCATATTTTAAAAACTCATACACATGTATTATAGGTTGTATTGGTACTTAATGAAAGACTACATTTTATTTAAGTTTATGATACTAAGTTTTGCTTCTTTGAGAAGATTTTTAGTAAATATTAAGTTGCTTTTGTTATTGTTGAGTACTGAAAATACTGATTATAAGTAAAAGTTGATCTTTGACTCAGTTGAAAATCCCTTATATTCTCTTGGTGTTTGGTAAGTATTAGAAGGTATAGGTGAGTATTCCAGTAAGGAGTGATCAGGGATTTCATGAACCATTAAATAAGTAAATATTATGTATATATGCACATAGTAGTGTGTATTAAAAGACTATAGAAGAAAAAATACTATTTTTTTTTTAATAGTCTCCTTTGGAGAGGGAATCACAGTGAAAGTGACTTTTTAAAAAATATTATACTCATTGTAGTATTTAAACTATTTTTTAAGATTTATTTATTTATACAAGAACTGGGGTACAGTCAGTGGCACAGGAGGGTGAGAGAATTCATCAGGGACAGCGGGGAGCAGAACAGTCAGATGGACCAAAGACACTGCTGAGGGGAGCAGCGGGCGAGGCAAGAGAGGTCTGCCACTCCATGTGTGTTTCTCCCCGGCTGGCAGGTAATCGAACCGGTGCTGCAGAGGCTGTGGGCAGCTTCAAAGTGCAGTGCTCAACCCACTGCGCCACCGGGAGGCCTTATTTAAACAATTTAAAGACTGTATTTGTAGTTTCTTTGATTTTCTTTTTTTAATATGAGAAAAATTAATTAAAACTTTTGGGGGGCCTCCCCAGCGCTTGAGCGCTGGGCTACGAAGCTGCCCGCAGCCTCTGCAGCGCCAGTTCAATCCCCGGCCACCAGATGAGGGTCCCACATGGCAGGCAGACCTCTCCTGCCGCCCGCTGCTCCCCTCAGCAGTGTACTTTGGTCCTTCTGCCTGTTCTGCTCCCCGCTCTGGTTCTGGTGAATTCTCTCACCCTCCCGCGCTTCTGACTGTACCCAGTGCTTGTATAAATAAATAAATAAATCTTTAAAAAATAAATAAAACTTTTGGGGTAGAAATTCACGGATGACTTATATATGTATTTTAAAAGTCCCCAAATACCAAGTCTTATTTAAGAACATGCAGTGCACATTGTATGTGCTGTTTTTATGTGAAGATTTTTGTATAGGTGTTCATTTCCAAATTCAATGAAGAAAATGATGTTTATGTAATCGGGAATGCTTATAATTAGGAATGTCAATTGATCACCGTAAACATGCATAAAATTTTAAAAATAATTAGAGCTTACTATCATACCTTTGTTCCTCCAACTGTTCACTAGTAGTCTCTGAGTTTATAATATTTAGTAATTACTTGCATGACTTTAGCACTCAGTTAAGTGCTAACTGCTTTACTTACAGAAAAATGCATGAGGAAAAAACTATGTTTTACTTAACCTATTAGCATTACAAGTTAAATAGATAATGTGTTTTATATGTGAGTGGCTTTCCCCACCTCCTTTTAACAGAATAAGAGAAACTTGCCCTGGTTTCAAACCTTTCTTTTCTCCTTCATGCTAGTTTTATTTATTTTTTTAAATTTTAATTTGTTGCTTGATGAGGCCATTTGGGTATGATGCAAGCTTTCCCTTAAAGCTGCTCATTTATATTACCCATAGCATGGGAACCACTGAACATGGGGCTTGGTTAACTTAATGTGACAAATTTTGATTGTGTGTATATTTGTGATTTATTGTATTGAGATTATCCAAAATAATCTCAAGTATTTGGATTAGCTCAGAAACTATTTGAGTTGATTTTGAAGTTGCACATTGATATAGCTCACATATATATTTTCTTCCAAACTCTTGTTTTGAAAAAGTAAGCCAAGTGGAAAGAATAGTACAGTGAATGTGCATATTCCTTCTCTCTACTAGATGCCCAGTTAACATTTTGTCACATTTATTTCTCTCAAATATGTGTTTTCCTCTGGAACAATGTAAAAGTATGCCACAGAATCATGAAGCTCATCCTTAAATACTTTATTTAACTGTCTTCCTTAATTGCATAATCTAAATACTTGAAATAATAAGTATAGTTATATTTTCTAATATAATTCCAGTTTTGTGATTTCCCCCATTATCTGAATATGATATGTATATCCGTTCTCTCTTTTACAGGTTATTTTTTTTTCTCCATTATTATATATTTAGTTGTCATGTCTCTTTAATCTCTTTTTAATTTAGAGTAATTCTGCTCTTTGTTTTTTATGACAGCCATTTTTATGTTGTATAATGTCTTACAATATGGATCAGAGTCAAGCTGAAACTTTTGATACACTGCATAGGTCAAATACTATAGGTTATGTAGTATAGAATATTATATAATGTGAACTTCCTATACATGTACAGAATTTTTTCTTTTCTATTTTTTCCTCCTATTTTAGGAAAAAAATTTCCATGCAGCAAAAGAGGGTACACTTTTAAAAAGACAGTATAACATAGTGATTGAGAAAAGGGACTGTGAGTCCCATTTCTGCCACTTAATCTCATTATGCATTAATTTTCTGATTATTAAATAGAGTGAGTAATAGTTCTATACTTAGAAGATTGTTGTGAGGATTGTGTAATGCTTGAGAAGTTAATTCGTATAGTCTTGCATATCATAAACATTTAATAAATGTTAGCTGTTATTTTCCTTATGATTTGTAATTCTTACCAACAGACAAGTTTTATGTGTTTTATAGTAGTATTCAGCTTCACAGATTTTCTAGTGGTCTATTGTGTTGTCCCCTAGCAGTACAAAATTCCTTTTGGTCCACTGATAATTTGCACATTATAGAATGTCTGCATTTATTTGCTTGATTAATCTTCACATTTGTGGGGTTTTTTTTTTCCTTAAAGATTTATTTATTTATTTATACAAGCACTGGGTACAGTCAGAAGTGCGGGAGGGTGAGAGAATTTACCAGAGCCAGAGCGGAGAGCAGAATAGGCAGAAGGACTGAAGTACGCTGCTGAGGGGAGCAGCGGGCGGCAGAGAGGTCTGCGTGCCATGTGGGACCCTCACCCAGCGGCCGGGGATCGAACTGGCGCTGCAGAGGCTGCAGGCAGCTTTGCAGCCCAGCGCTCAACCGCTGTGCCACCAGGGGAGGCCCTTCACATTTGTGTTTTGAAGAAATTTTTTTTCACTGAAGTCTTCATATGGGGAGATATGTTCTTTCATTTGAATAAGTGTTTAAAAATACTTATGTGGCACACAGTGTACTTTGTCATGGGACAACACTAGCATTATACTTAGTGTGGCGACTGGAAGATACAATTAAACCTATTAACAGATGCCTCATGTTATGTGAGGTATGGGAAGAGCCATCATTAGTCATGAACAGTCACATTGTAGAGGAGCTGTTCACGAAATGCTTTATGGATAAAATGGCAACATAATCTTGGCAGGGAGGTGTAGAAGTTCAGAGCCCTGGAGAGCATGAGTATTGTGCCACCAACTGAAAGTAATTCAGTGCATCTGCAGTTTTGACTCTCTGTGCAAGGCATGATTTCAGAGAGGGGAGCAGGTATCTAGCTGTGGAAGTAAAATAATTTATGTCCATATAGGGACATTTTTTCAGAATAAAAGAAAGCACTATTAATAATAATATATGGACAACATGAATGTCCTAGAAAAGCCGGGATAGGTCCTACTGATTATAAGCCAGATTAAAGGATTTTAATTTATGCTAAGGTAGCATGGTGGTTTTATCCTTTCAGCATTCTGGAAGCTGGATTATAAAGGGTTATTTTCTTTTAAGATTTATTTACGCATACAAGAACTGGGGTACAAGCCAGAGGTGCGGGGGGTGAGAGAACTCACCAGAGACAGAGTGGGGAACAAAACAGGCAGACTGTCTAAGGTACACTGCTGAGGGGAGCAGCGGCAGAGACAGATTTCTTGCCGCGCCATGTTCCTAACTCCCTGACTGGTTGGGGATTGAACTTGTGCTGCAGAGGCTGCAGATAGCTTCACAGTGCTGTGCTTAGCCCCTTGCACCACCAGGGAGGCCCTAAAGGGTTATTTTCTGAATCTTTAAAAAGATTCAGATCTTTGGGCCTCCCCAGTGGCGCAGCAGTTGAGCGCTGGGTTGCGAAGCTGCCCGCAGCCTCTGCAGCACCGGTTTGATCCCCGGTCACCGGCTGAGGGTCCCACATGGCACGCAGATATCTCCTGCCACCCGCTGCTCCCCTCAGCAGTGTACTTCGTCAGTCTGCGTGCTCTGCTCTCTGCTCTGACTCTGGTGAATTCTCTCACCCTCCCACGCTTCTGACTGTACCCAGTGCTTGTATAAATAAATAAATAAATGAATCTTTAAAAAAAAAAAATTCAGATCTTTAAAAAGAAATGATTTTGAAAAGGCAGTTATGTCTCTAAGTGGCCTAATGGGCTTTGTAGAATGCCAAAACTTGAAATTTTGTGCTTCTGTCACCACACTAAAGAGCGAAACTTAGATATGAAAACAAAAAAAGGTTTTTGTAGAATTTGTATGTTTCCAAAATATATCTTTGATAGCTAGCATGTTTCCTTTACATAATAAAGGGAGTGAATTTATGGTAATAGTACTGGTTTGAGATGGTTATCAGATCAGAATTTATCTCCTAATCAGCAGGATCTTAATCTGCCCTTAGTGAACTGTCTTAGCCTACTAAACACTGAAGCAGCTAGCATTTACATAGTACTTAGTATGCACTGGGAACAGTTTTAAGAATTTTTAGTCCTTATTATCTGTGCATTGCCAGTAGAGTAAGTATACTTACCCTCAGATTTAAGTGGTGTTATTAGTAGTTTTAGGCATTTTGACAACTTTGGGAATATTTTTATATTAGATTCATGTAAACATTTTCACAATGATTTTTATGTTTTACAGCCTCCAAAAGTATGTTCGGGAACAGATTCTATTAGCAGTAGCAGTAATTGTAAAACGAGGATCATTAGATAAATCAATTGACTGCAAAAGCATTTTTCATGAAGTGAGCCAGTTGATAAGTAGTGGCAATCCTACTGTGGTAAGTACACTATTTATATTCACAGATATTTCAAGTTTTTATTTTGTATTATATAGATGCCATTATAACAGGTATTAGATGGCTACATAAAAGAACAAGTACACAGTTTAAGTAATAAAGCAATTTTCACTTGTTCATGTTTTCTTTTAGTTCTTTTTATATTTACATATTACAGTATACTTTTTAGTATATTTTAGCTGTAGTATACTTTTTCTTTTGATTCTGTTTCTTCATATTGCCATAGTTCATAATCATCAGTGTTATAAAATGTAATTTATAAAACCATAATTTTAACTACTTTTTAGACATTTTCTCCCTTTTTTTTTTTTTTGGTGGGACCCTCGCCGGTGGCCGGGGATTGAACTGGCACTGCAGAGGCTACAGGCAGCCTCGCAACCCTCCCATTTTTAATAAAAGTGAAAACGACCAGTGATAATAGAACTGTTAGAATAAAATATATTTTATGTAACAAGAATAATAAATGTTATACTAACAGTTCAAGGTACACTGTGACTTCTAGGTATTAAGGTCACTTGAATGAATTTGAGAACCACTGTTTTTGATTGAGTTACTCTGAGTAGCCTGAATTTTTTTTTCTTCCTTTTGAGAACTGGAGTTGTACGCAGACAATGTTTGTTTGCAGTCACTCTGTTAGAAGCAGGAGGAATTGAAATTGTTGTTAGTAATCCTTGATTAGAACTGACATTTAATTCATACAGAATTGGGATTGGTGATATTTGGCTGTTTGGATTCTTGCATATTAAATCTTTAATTTGGATAGTTTTTTTAATTTCCCCAGCCTCTTTTTTTTAATCACTTGAATCATATCTATGTGAGGTGATGCATCTTACAACTCTTTCTGAATAACTATTTTCAATGGGTCCTAAGTGAGTGAATGGTGTGATTTTAATCATTTATTTGATGCTTTAGGAGATGGTAGGAATTTTTAGGAGGGCTAAATATCTGCACAGTGTCTTATATCTTACTCTCATTTCTTCCTGTACATAGATGTTCATCCACCTTCCTCCTCTAGCCATCTATTTTCTACTCCTGTGGACCCTGAAACTGATAATACCATGCTCTTGGTTAAAGGAATGTTGTTTTTTTGTTATCCCCTTTGGAATTCACCAGTGGTCATGTATTTTTTTTCCTTCTCAACTTTGTTGAGGAATAATTTACACTCATTATTGCATCCATTTAAAAAGTTTGCTTTGACGAGTTGTGACAGTCATATATATATCAATGAACTACCACAGTTGAGATCACAAGCATTATCTTTATCTCAAATTTTGATTCTGTGGCTATTGTGTTCTAAGCCATGTTTATAGCAGAATTCTTCTGTGTTGATGCAAATGTTCAGTATCTACTCTCCAATGTGTAGCCACTGCACTAACCACTTGTTTCTTTTGAGCATTGAAATGTGGCCAATATCACCGAGGAACTGAAGTTTCATTTTATTTAATTTAAATTCAAATAGCCACATGTAGCTAGTGGCAGCTATATTGGACCCGTGTTGTTCTGGAGACTTTGCTAATCCGAAAGTCTAATTTCATGTGCTTTTCACTTAATTTTAATATTGAAAATTTAATGTTTATATAAAACTAACCACTTCAAAAATGTATGTTTGAATCATTACATTTATGAATTATTTCTCTTGAAGATAGCATACAAATAAGATTTCATAAAAAATTACTGAGGTCGTGAAATAAATCAGAATGAAAAAGAATATTGGATGGTTTCACTTATAGGAGGAACATAGGGCAACCATACAAGGGATCAGGAAGAAAAAAGAAAACTAGCAGGGAAACTATAAATCCAAGACATTCATCAGGGGAGGGGGAGGGAGAAGGAGCAAAATGGGAGGGAAGAGAGCACAAGGGGATATTTTGATGGTTCTCGGGTGACTTAGGTTGTGGGACTATCATGGGGATTACACCTCAGAGGAGAAATCAAACATTGTACAAAAACGAACAATAATGTAATATATATATTTATATATTTATACATATAAATAAAAATTACTGAGCTAAAAATGATTGGGAAGCTGCTTTTGGCTTATATTAATATATACACTCAATCTATTTGTAAATATGGTTTCCATTTTTGATGAAGAGCTTTGCTCTTGAGGTACTGATCATCAGTGCTACATGTATTAGTTGTATAACAGTAAACTTGTTATTTATGTAAGTTCTCATTAGCATTTGCTGCCTAGCTCATGGCTACATGCATGATTCAGTGGTTGCATCACTGATATTTGAGGGTAAGCCAGTATTGGATGTAACTAGCCAGAAATAGTAGGGCAAAGGTTCGGAACTGAAGCTGCTGCTTGAAACTAACCTAGACCCTTCTACCCTGAATCTAGTTACTTTTCGTAGTTTATATTCTGCTTAAGGACATGTTTCATTGACAAAGCTACAGTAAAGGAGTCCTGCTTATTCTTCAATGTTTAAACTTTAGTAAACTAACCAGTAATTTGGGGATCTATATACTTATGACTAATGTCTTTCCCCTTGTTAGTTTGGTGATCCCATTGTCTGTGATTTCAGCATTAAGGCAGTATTTCTGCTGCCCTCATTCCTCATAGTTAGCTTTCACACTGGATGCTGCAGACAAAGGATCAAGAGTCCCTTTCTTCTCCCAGAAGTGAACACGTACTCAGGAATTGTGTTTTCCATTTCCTTTCCCCTTGAGTAATTTGACAAAAAGTAGTCCCAGTGCAACCCTGACAAGTGAATTTTGGAGCCACTGAAATAATTAATGTTCTGAGAATGACTGGAAAAGATGTAACTGATCAGAGAAGATGTTGGTTTATTTACAGTGCTTCCACTTTGAGAATAGTGGGTAATTTAATGTCTTGATGACATACTCCAAAACAGAGACTAAATTAAAATTGAGTTGAATTTCTATTAACAGGGCTAAGAACTTTATAATAGTAGGGGATCAGAAGTGGGAAGTAGAATTTAATTTCAAGATTACTGGGTGAATTTGGTGTGATGACCACTTGTAAATATTAAACTTAAAAAATATTCTTACATTTATATGGCAAGTTAAATACCATCCTGTGGCCACTTACTGTTTGTTGTTGTCTGGCACCTTGAAATTAGCTCATTCAGCTGGTCTAAAATGTGATTACAGACAAGTGAGACATTTTATTGCAACCTCCACTCTCTTTTTCTTTCTCTCAGACTGTTAAGAATTTGTGGGAGTGGTTCACAAATTTACTTATGGTTTTATTAGTCCCAGAGACAGGAGCAGTGGGAGAGGTGTTTAAAATTTTGAAAAAAAAAAAAGTAGAATGATAAAGTGGTCAGAACACTGATAAAATATTGGCAGTGTCAGGTACAGGCAGAAAATTCCCTAACCCAACTGGATCCTTAAGACCAAGTGGGCAAACAGGTAACATCAGACAGATTAGGTGGAGAAAAGGTCAAAAGTTAACAATTACATGGATAATTTACGTAGTTGTTGATTTTAAAGACTTATGGAGCTGATCTAGGTTGTTTATCCTGCATTTTGGGACCTGCAGCACCAAAGAGAGTGGGGTGGAGGACTTTACATTTTTACCTGACATACAAGAAGGGGGTGCTTCATCCCTGCTCTGAGAGTAAAGATGAGATGGTTAGAGAAGTCATATTCACTGATAAGCCTTCAATTAGGTGAGGCTCCCTTGCAAACTGTATTCTTCTAGGTCCTTAAAGGGGAAGCAATGATTGCTTCTACAGTTAGGAAAAGGACAAAAGTTCAGGATGTGATGATTTCTTTTTGATTTGCTAAGAGTGAGGAACAGAAGCTTCTCAGGCACAAGTGATATCATTGCTCTTAGCTTAAATACTTTAATTGCCATGGCAGAAAATCTTGAGACTGTTTCGGAGAATTTTAGTGTGGTCTGATTTCAGTACCTTCAGCTAGAAACTTTATTTCTAAAGGTGATTTTAAGAGATACTTGAAAAGAAGAGGAAATTGACTAATAGTTTGCTGTAGATGAAAGAAAAGGTTAACCTCATTAATTAAATTAGGTAACTTTCTCCTTACACCTCTTTGAGAATGACAGTTCATTAGCCAGAAACTTAATATAGTTTGACTTGCACTTTTCCCTTTCTAAGAGTATTAATTTCGGGTGGTCCAACACTATGTACTAGTTTAATACACATATTTAAATAAGTTTAGAGGTAGTGTAGTTGTAGGGTAAAGAAAATGTCAGGCTTTTCTGCCCTTCCGCCATCAGGATAGATGATGGATCCTTGTCCTGAATGCATGCCTGATGGCGGGCACCTGGAATAGTGTGTGGGCATAGGTAGATGGGATTCAGCTGAGTTAAGACTGTGCTTTTAAGGGCGGCGTCACGGGGGGACGCCAGCAGCCCCAGCCAGCAGCAGCAGAACCCGAAAGAGAAGCCAAGAAGCAGCAGAACGAACGCTAGAGAGCCCAGATAGAGTGAAGACTTGCTGGGGGCTGGGAGGCCTGCCAGCCCCCCAGCCAGCACCCCTACCTGCCATATGCCTGGTGAACCCCAAATAAAACACCTGCAAAACTACTGAGGACTCTGACTCCTCCTTTACCCGGTCTGCATGGGATCAGAAAACCTGCACTGTGCCCAGTCCTGACTTTACAGTAGTGTAATACAACACTGCGATTTTGGTTTTATACTTAAGTTTAAATACCCACTCTGCCACTTATTACCTAACATGAGCAAATTGCTCAATTTATCTAGATACTGATACACTAATTTATAAAATAAATATGATAATATTCATTTCCAGGGCTGGTCAGAAGAGGAAAGACAATGTTAGGTGTCATCTCACACTCCTTTCTTATACTATTTTGGGATGTGAAATATATTAAATTATCTCTTTTCCTATCAAGCAATATTTTAAGTTTTGAAAATGAGAAGAAAGGATTTATGCTATTATTCACAGATGGAAACTAATTGTATTTAAAAACAAGGTGACCTACACATTAGCTTTGCTTTAAATGCTTTAATATTTTATAGCCTTGGGTTT